AGCCGGTGGTGTGTCGTCTGCAGCATTCCGTAGTGGTTGCGGCGTGGGGACCATGTCATGCAGCCGTATAGCAGTGCCTCCACTGCCTCCGCCTGGAGCAGGCGGGCTTTGAGGCGAAACGGTGCTCCCGGTCGGTCGAAGAGCTCCGTGGCGTATCGCTTAATGCACGCCCACGCTGCTTTGCTCCTGTGGTTGATCTCTCGGGTAAGGTCGCCCTGCTCGTTGACGAGGCCGCCCAGGTATCGGAACTCGGTCGTCTGTGCGTACCTTTGCCCCGCTGCTTCGATGGTCAGCACCGGCGGTGGCGGCGGCGGCGGTCGCTGTCTCTCCTTCACCCGCATCACCAGGGTCTCCGTCTTCCTCTCCGACACCGTCAGCCCGAACTCCCGGAACACCTCCACGATACTATACTCAAAAAGGTGTTTAGTAGAGTATTGAACAGCCGTACTTACAAAAGTTTTAGTAGAGTATGAATAGCTGTACTAAACCGCCACAGTATGCTTAGTGGAGTATGAAAAGCTGTACTAAAGTGTGAGTATTACTCTAATGGGCGAAAAGGGCCAGATACTTACTCAATACTCGGGTCAGTACTAATAGTAAATACTATACTAAACCTACCCGTGCAAGATTTCCATTTCACGAACAGCACCTCACCAAAATGCCGATGGAAAAAATGCGGCGAGATGATCTGTTGTTTGGTCGGACACGTCAACATCACTCCACGGCACCACGCAGCAGAAGAGCAGCAGGGCCTCCGACACGCTAATTCTTTCGGATTGGCCATCTATATGATGCTGGCCGTCAGCGCGGCTGCAGCCCTATGATTGTTGAGCCCGTCTACCTTTGGGCAGTTGGTGGTCAAAGATGGGAGTCGCAACCGTGAAAAATGAGCCGGCAAACTGAAAAGATCGTAAGCACACCCAGGTTGCGACAATCTGCCCTGCGCCTGTTGTTGCTGAAAACTGAAAACAGCAGGCCGGGTGGATAAAATCTATCTAAGTGTGTTGCCCTCCGTGTCGGGTGCTGCTCATTACGTTTTTACCGCTGCTCTATGGTGAGCTATACCAAGTCAACCTGTTGTGTGCCGAGCAAAGCGTGTATTCAGGGAAGGAAACAATCTTTTCTTTGCCATGACATCACGAATATAACAAGCGAAAAAAGTCGTGTTTTCTTTTCACCGTTCCGTGGAAAATTGCACGACTTTTCCAAAGCGTCCAAAACGAGCCTAAATACATACATGTGGAGACCACCTTCATAAAGGTTGAAACTCCCCAACGTTTATCGAGGACGAAACCTTCTTTTCCACAATGGCGTCGATAAGAGATATCAGGCGTCTGCTCTGGGTTGCAAAAGACACGGGTTCAAAACCCGCTGCTCACCTAATTTTCTTCCGGAGTAGTACAGAAAAAGAAAAACGGTGGGTGTGCCAAGAAACGATGCACTGTCTATCGAACTCGAAACTTCTGGCAATGCGTGGCGGAAGTGGCGCACCCGCACACACGCACAGAATATTGTTGGAAAAAAAGGTGGTTCTCCTCGCCGCCAACCGGTCGGGTTCCGGTTACCCCAAGAAGACTTCTCTTGCCTAGCAAACAAGAAGAATCCTCGGAAAAGGGAGGGGTAATGTGGAGACCACCTTCACAAAGGTTGAAACTCCCCAACGTCTGTCGAGGACGAAACGCTCTATTCCACATACAGTCTAATTGGATTTGAATGAAGTACTTCCACCAACTGATGAGCCCCCCCGGTCGGCAGCAGTATGTGTGGTCTCGTGGAACGAACGCCAGCAGTGGCTACGACGCCAAAACTTAGATATGTGTCCCTTGGCAACATTTAACAATTCAGTTACCAACACCAAAAACACCACACCCAAGGCACATACACAGTAAGTGATCAGCTCGATCAACATTATAGTGACAACTTTTGAACAGTGGAATATTTGCCGATACTGCTGTATCGCCGATGTATGTTCCCCAGCTGATATGTACAGTATTGTACATAGTGCAGTGACATCAAATCTGTTGTCACTTGTCACAATCTCAACGTGATATCGTGAAATCTGTGGCACTTTGCAGAGGACGGGATCCTCAATATATGTCTGAATTTTGTATTTTGGGGTGTATCTCATACCCCCGATAGTGGTACAGTCGGGGTCCCTCTGTAGTGCGGGTATGTGCCAAGCGAAATGACCCGCACTATTCAGGGCCCTCAGAACCCTGTACAGCAGTGCGGGAGGCGCACTATTCGCGATATCACTAGGATAAAGTACTGCAGTACGGATTTGTGAGCCAGAAACAAGGAGAATGAAGGTGGCACAGCGGTAGCGTGCGCAATAAGTGAGGGGACAGAGCAAGATGCGACGTTTTTAGGAGAGTCGCCTTCGTTCGTTCGTGGGTGAGACTAGAACACACGGCGCAACGGTAAAACAATATATGTCCATGGTACAACAGATCACAGCATACACACACTGGGACTCTGGCATGTAGCGCAGAGCATGCTGAGTGAGAAGTTGTGTCTCAGCCCCTGTTGTTGCTCCAACCCATTGTGCGTTGATTCCCCTCGATTATTTTTAACTTATTGAGAGGATAACATCTACGAGCCATATGGAACACGTCCGCAACCATCCGCATACACAACCAACCGCGAGGAATACCTTTGAAAAACAACTTTTAAAACCTCTCCAGAGTAACTCACAGATGCGAAAAGCAAAGGGGGAACACTCCAAAAGCAAAGACCCTGCTCCTCAGTTTCTTTCTCAAAACGTCACTACACAACGCAACACCGTTTTTTGGTGAATCTAGGTGGTGAACGCACGAAGAAACAACAGTTGGCGAAAACCCGCAATGATTTGATCTACATTCTACACACGTATGCAGACACCCCATACACACTCGATACCAAAAAACGACCAAACGTCAAAACCCGCACTATAGAGGGACCCCGAATGTACTGTAATTACAAAATCGGGACCCTATTTACACCTCCTGCTGAGGCGCACAGCGGTGAGCGAATTAATTTGGTATTTACTTCGTAGTATTATTAAGTGAGGAGAGAGGGCCCGGACGTGGGGCCTTGGTTGCGGTGGGAGGATGTGATTATGTAGAAGGTGACTGGGTATAACTGCACACCAACAAGAACGAGGGGTATCATACCTTTGATGACTTACTCTGCAAGCTTTAAGGTCGGGATTCGATTGAATGCTTTCCAGAGATCTGCGCAGCAGTCCGCAGCACCGCGCGTGTGTGCATGTGCATCGATCGCAGGTTATAGTCACGTGGACTTCATTGTACGCACGGTTGACTGCGAATTAACCAGGGATTGTTTTGTGTGTTTGCTTGCAGCATTGTGTGTATTGTTTTCTTTTTTATCCTCTAGTAATTGAAGATTCGTGAGCAAGTCAACATGGACGAAAAACTGGCGCGTGCGAGCCTTTCCACCACACACACACACCTGACGGGTGATCATGGCGCATGGTCATGGACGGGGTGAACTGCGAGGACTGGTTGTACGTGCCCTACCTGCTTGCGTCCCTACCTATACATCTGTCGCCCGGCATTGACTGCAGGCTTCGTTGCAGGCATGGTTGGTGACCAAAGACCAACTACCTTTCACTTACCGTACGAGACGCAAGATAGCACGCCCAGGATAAGACACCGCACAGAATACAACATCCGGTGCTAATATTTTTGGATTGCAAATGAGCAGTCGAAAAACCACCCAGGACCATGAGATATAACATCCCGTGAGGTTAAGACGCGCGTATCGCGGAGCTCATGTTACTTCGCCCCGGTGATTACTCAGCATATGTTCCTGATGACATGCAACATGGCCCAGCAGGGAACACACGCAACCGCCCTATGAGCGGGGGAACCACCACGTAAGCGGTCCTTCAATTCAATTCAAACCAACTCTATTTCTCCCCCCCCCTGTAAAGGTCAGATAGGCAAGATGGACGAGATCCTGACGGACCCACACCTAGACACTAGGATTTAGAGGTGTGTTCTCTTGAATGTGATTGTACCTAAGCTAGAGTATGCAGGAGACGTATGGGAAGGTAACGAAAAGGCCGTCAAGCAGCTGGAAACGGTGCAGATGGCAGCCGCCAAGAAAATACTAGGATGTTCAAGTACAACAAGCAACACTGTATTGAGAGCAGAACTGGGAATGTACTCTCTTAAAACAAAGATAGACATGCAAAAGTTGAATTGGCAGTACAAGGTAAGTAGACTGTCGGACGATAGACTACCAGCCATGGTTGACAAGGTAGCTTGGGGAAAAGCGACTCCAGGGAAGAAAGGAATCAGATGGGACAAGGTGGTAGAGAGGGTTGGGAAGGAGATAGGAGACGAGGAGGAGACATTAGACACGGAAGGGTTCGGGGGGTTCAAGAAGAAAGTCAAGGAGATACTAGAAAGTAGGGAGGAGGCAACCCTTCGGAAGAAGGTACGAAGCGAAGACCACTTGGAGATATACGGGAAGTTGAAAGAAGGGATAGGGATGAAGAGTTACTTGGACGGCCCCACGGACTACGCAAAAAAAATGAAGTTGCAATTTCGAGTAGGCGATCTGGACTTGCCAGAACCGAGGAAGAGGTGCAGCAGCCGTAGGAGAGAGGAAGAGGAGGATAGACAGACATGTCCATGTGGCAAAATCGGAGGAGAGTAGACCCCACATAGTTGGGGAGTGTGAGCTGTACAGGAAGGAAAGAGAGGATCTCGAGGAGGACATGAGACAGAGAGGGTGTGACATGGACAAGTTTGGTAAATTAGACGACAGCGAAAAAACGATTACGGTAATTGAGGATAGATGGTGGGCACAAGAGGCCGTAGAGGACGGGGATAAGATGTGCAAGAAATTCTTATGTAGTTTGTGGCAGAAACGAAAAGAGCTCCCAAATGTTGGTGGTGTCTCTAGTAGGGGTAGGAACGGTGCTCCGTCTCGAAAGGGACGCGTGGTCAATGGTCAAAAATGACTACGGCAAGCAACATATGAGTACGCCCCCCCCTCCCCCCTCCCTTATTTGAATACTTTCTGTGTGCCAGGCGGTGGTGGTGGATGAAAACCCTTTTCATTACATGGCAACACTCTCTTTCGCTGTTTCGAGAGAGCGCTGTGGACGTTGCATGCCGGGGTTATGTGCAAAACGCTTACCCCCTCTCACTTCCGCGCGACTGTAAGAATGCTCGGCAGGAACTTCACTGCTGTAGTCCGTGGTGACATTGCTATCACGCCCGCTCAGTACCACGCACCATGCCAGTGCGGCAGCAGTGCGGTATGTTGTTTTTATCAGGCAGGGGAATAACCCCCCCTCAATACCACACCCTCCGAACGTGTGGCCGCAGGCGCGGTAGGCAATTCTCGGCAGGCTGTGCTAACACCCCCCCCAGCTTTCATACAACTTCAGTCCCTGCGAATGTGCGGTCGTGTACTAGGGAGTCACGATCGAACGGACAGCGACACTGCGACACAGGACACAGGCAGACTTCGTGGTGCAGGTGCATTATCACCATCCAAATGACATTGGAGCCCGTCCTACCCCTCGTGTGCACTAAGAACGGCCCATCACTTTCCTCCGTAACAGGATGGTGAGTTATCCTCAATACACTACGCCATTGTCATGTGCCTATCGCAGTCGAGGATTCTTGCCGATTCACCACTGCTATTCTCCACAAGATGGATTTAGTGATACCCTCAGGATGACGCGCAGGAAATAAAGAGGAGGATCTCTGCACCAAGTCTGTCCTCGTAGATGTCACCATCGTCAACCCATCTGCACGCAGAAGCATCAATATATCGATTCAACGCTAGGATCTGCCCACGAAGAGAGAGCAAGTAAGGCAATCCATTATATGGGAATTGTTCAACCAGTCTAGATCTACCCTCCTTACTGATGTTTTCCCAACTAAAGTGGTCTTGGCAAATGCACCAAATGGTTCGTCGTAGCTGCCGCCCACCGCCTACGAAGCATTTCCACGTACAACGCCCCCCCCCGAAGTACAACGCGAATGAATGAGAGTAGATCCAATGAACAGCTATCGGCAGTGTGCACATCATCGTAATACAACTTGTTGCGATCTGCTTGTTCCGTTAATCTGTTGTCGGTGAAGTTCCCGCAATTGCATGTCGGCAGGGGTGTGCACTGCAACGGTCTAGCTGGCTGTGAAATTTAAGGGCAGCGACACCAGTATTTACACCGTTCCCGCATTCCACTCTGAATCGGAAGAGGCTTCCTCTTCTCGCCTCTCTCCATTGTCTCGGAACCTTTGAATGTACCTATGGCGGGTTGAGGAGTTCATTCGCGTGGGAGAGGAGGTTTGGCCGAACGCTTCAACCGATCGCAGTAAACGACCCACGGGACGCTGACTGATGCGCGACTTGTGGGGGCGTGTACCCTGACAGTTGCTGCCCATGGAATGAATGCAGAGGTTTGTCACCGTGAGGTGTTAACTGACCAAACCTCAAGAATTGACGCCACCCTCTACCCTTCTGAGGAGACCCCATTCTTTTCTAGCCATTTTTGGTAGAATCGGGTTCTAAAGAATCAGAAAAGGAAAATGTGATCACTAGTTCACCTGTAGATACCCATCTCATCCCCTCGTGACTCTAAATATCGAGAGCGCTCTTCTTTGAGTTTTGGCTCGTTTTTCTTCCCACATTTGCGTGTCTTGGCATCCTCTTCTTCTCCCGCCCTGATACTAGCGCATCTCTTCATATCCTTTCCGGCGGCAAGTCCAAGTCCGCTACTCGATTTTCAGTTTCACCTATTTTTGCATTGTCCATCCGTGGAGACGTTCGACTGGACACTGTGTTCCAATCTGTGTTTTCCACTTATCAGGCTTCGCTGCTTTGTATCTTCCACCCCGCATTTTTCATTATTCATGCCTCGTGGACCCCACAACGCCATTCTCACCAAAGGGGTCTGGGGGGGGGGTTTCACACCGCATCCTGCGGGCGATTTAGTCTGGAACTGTCACACCGCCACCTATCGTCACAAACCGAGGCAAAGGGTGCGAGGTCATGCACTTCCCACAGCACATGCCGCAAAAGAGGTCCCATTGTTTCTTTTCGGGCACACTCGTGACAGGTGATTTGCTCTCCAGCCAGTTTTTTTTGCCATGAATTTGATCCGGATGAAATAGCGTCGTTTGACTTCCTGAATATCATCCCTCATAAATTGCCCTGCTTTTGCAGGGCTGCCTCCAATCCGCGGTCCGCTTTCCTTCGATCCTTTGAACGGATTGGATTCCGTGCGTGACGGTGTGACGAAACGACGAAGAATATATTCTAAGGGGAAAAAAGGGAGAGTGCCTTTTTCTTTGTCGCGGAGTCCTCTTTGCTTGTTCTACTAGTTTGATAATATTGTACATCATCATGCCACACAGCGGATGGATGTACATCAGTATGCCTACGCCAGTCAGTAGTGTGCTATAGCCTTTCTTCTTGTTGTGGGCTGGTTAGCGCTTGTCTGTCTGGTGGTTTTGTGGATGACAAAAAGGCAGGGCTGTCCTCGTTAATTTCTCCGCGGTAATTTTACCGCAGTAAAAACACGGTAGTAATTACCGGTTCCCGTGATGCGGTGAAAAATGAGAACTACCGTTCCCATCCAAATCGTTTCCGTGATAAATTGATTTTACTGTTAACGCCCAAACCGTTTACGAACAAATTGAAGTGCCCCATTACCGTACAAAAAGTTACTGCGGAAAAATCGGAATTAATTCCCGTGCTTTCGAATTCCCGCTGAGTATGTTACCGTACGAGCAACACAATCCCATCAACACAATCCAATCTGCAGTACCGCACAGAAACACCAGTAGTTTTGTTGCATCGTCTGTTGAAGCGTTGAATAATATCACCGTTTATCGGTGGATGAGGAAGGCGGCGCTTGCTTGTTGCCTGTCTTGTTGATGACGACATGTTGTTACTTGGCGCATGATGGCTTACTGCTTACTACGTCGTCTTGAGGCCACGAGAGCCTGCCTGTGTGTCTGTGCAATGAATCAAGTGGATACATGCTGTCTGGCATTCACCATTATATATATGCCACCGGTTTGGTTGACGGACATGATGCTCGGTGAATGAATTTGTCGCGCACGTTTGGTGTGAGGCGACCACACATTTAAGGAACACTTGAAAGTGAGCAAACGAAACAAGTCCCGACGTGCCATGGTGGTGTGGTTGACTGTACAAACAAGTTGTACCGTGCGTGGTGACCAGTACAGTAACACAGAAACCATAGATATTTGTTTCTTTGCACTACAGTACTATTACTACCGTGGGGACTGGTTCCCGTACAAGAAAATTACCGTGGTGACCAGTTACCGTAAAAGCATGCACATTCTTGTGCATTACCGTGCGTGGTGGCTGGTTGCCGTACAATATTATCACCGTGGTGGCAAGTCACCGCACGGAAAAAGTATTGTCCCCCCCGTGGTTTCTTGTTAACGCGGGAAATGATTCCGACATGAAAAACCGTTAACGAGGACAGCCCTCCACAAAGGTGCGTTTTGGAGTGAGCGATGACCAGCTGTGCTTCTTCTTCATACGCCTGCCTATCAATCCGATGTGCAGCTCTGCTGCAGCATTAGGCTATATATAATCAATCATCTAGGTAGTCTACACTTCAACACTATACACATTGCTGCTGCTGTAGAAGTGATCGCCTCGTTTTCCCTATGGAGGCTGGCGAGAGACGCACAAAAAGTTCCTTGGACAAAGTGGTACTTGTAGTTGTATACCTACATTATAGGAGTATGGTCCGTTCGGGCACAAATTCACAATATTTTCCCCTGCACAAAGGTGCACTTTTCTCGGGGTGGCGGTACTTATTCCGAAATCTGAAAATACCGCGTAAATCGACGTTTCAAGGCGCATCTTCGTACGGAGA